CTCCTTTTTGGAAGGGTTTGTAAGGAATTGTTATTAATTCTTTCAGCACTTGGTATCATTCACAAATGAAGCCATTTGAAACTGGGCTTTTTTTGTGGAATAGTTTTTGACAGTTAACTATATCTTCTACCTCATTTTAGGTGTATTAGATGGCCTACTTCTCCTTGAGTCAGCTAAACTATTGTCATATTGTCTATTTCTCTCTCGATTTGTCAGTTTTACTTACATGGATTTGGGTGTTGAGTTATTATGTGAATATATGTTTAGAATTGTTTCATCTCTCTGATGATTTGACCATTTTATCATTATAAAATGATCCTGTTTATCTTCCTCGCATTTTTAAAGTCCCCTTTGGCTTTTTTTGGCACAGCACAGAGTTCTCTCTCCAGCTTTCTTATGGTTGTTTGCCTGAGATAACTCTTCCATCCCTTTAATTTTAATCTATTTGTAACTGGGATCAAGTATGTCTACTGTAGACGGAATACTTGGTTCTCATTTTGCATTCAGTCTAACAATCTGCGCTTTGATTGATTGCTTTAAGTCACTTAGATGTAATGTCAGTGTACTGTAATGTAATGTACTGTTGGATTTATGATGGCATTTTACTTTTTGCTTTTTGTTTTTCATGCCTCCACTCATTCCTCTTTCACTGGTAACTCCTTATTCAGTGAATAAACTATAATATTTTCATTATTTAATTATTAGTCACTATTTTGTAGCTATTTTAGTGAGAGATTTTTTGCTTTTGCCATTTTTTTCTACATTTATAATTTTGTGATTTTTTCTTTTCAAAGATTATTTAAGAGACTTTTAAAAAATTTATTTAAAAGAGAGACAATGAGAGACAGAGCACCAATGGAGGGGGAGGGGCAGAGGGAGAAGGAGCTCCTAAAACACTGTGATTATAGCTGTTTATAGACCAGAGATGAAGTAGGACAGTGTCTACACTGGAAAGGGCTTTTCAGACTTTTATGAAGGCCATATAAAACCTAATAAAATTATGGATACTCTCCCCAGAAAGAAGTGCATGCATAAAGAAACATAAAATGTCAGTGGATATATGTAGATCATCTGAAGTGAAACAGATCTGGGTTTTAATCCCAGGAAGAGATAAAGGATGAAGAAGACATGTTGAGCAATCACTTCATGACCCAACAATGCTACTGTACTTATCTGTGAATAGGGACTGGAGTGGACAAACCTGGGCCATAACAACCATCAAGGGAATAAATTGAAAGATGCCATTTATGAGTCACTCGTCCTCCAAGCTGACTTGAGTGCCTGCAGTGTCCAGATCAAGTTCTAGTCTCAGATCACCGCTCCAAATGTGTTCCTTTCTCTTCTATGGCTTTTGCCCCCTCTGGTGACCTCATCTCTGCTGTAGGCTCTAAACATCATTTATATGCTGTCACCTCCCAAATCTATTTCTGCAATTTAGATATGTCTCCAACCCTGCACTCTGTATCCAACTGTCAACTTAGCTTGCATTTCTTTCTTTCTTTTTTTTTTTTTTATTATTTTTACTTATTTATTTATTTGACAGACAGAGATCACAAGTAGGCAGAGAGGCAGGCAGAGAGGGAGGGGGAAGCAGGCTCCCCACTAAGCAGAGAGCCCGATGCGGGGCTCGATCCCAGGACCCTGGGATCATGACCTGAGCTGAAGGCAGAGGCTTTAATCCACTGAGCCACCCAGGCACCCCTTAGCTTGCATTTCTAATAGACATATTAGATTCACCATTTCTGAAGTGGATGACTGTGATGCTGCTTCCCTAAATGTGCTTCTTTCAGAGTCTTCCCCATATCCAAGGAAGGCACTCCACATTTCTACTTGCAGTCTGAAATCCTGGCTCTCCTCTTTGATTCCTCCTCACCACCCAGAATGAAGCCATTAGGAAATGCTGCAAAGTCCATCTGTAAATATCTCCAGCACGCAGTCAATTCCCAGTATCTTCTCTCCTGGGACACTGTACTGGTTTCCTACAGTTTCCCTACTGGTAGCTCACACTACACCTCTCAATTCTGCACAGCAGAAAAACAGGTGCTGCTAAAGAAAGTCAATCTCATTGATCTGTTCATTCTTGTAACTCCACACCTCACTCAGAGAAAACTCAAAACCTTCTAATATCTTCAGACCTCCATGATGAGACTGACCTCTGACCTCTTCTCACCTGTTTTCTGTTCCAGCCACAGTGGCCTCCTCACTCTTCCTTGAACACAGACACACTCCTGCCCTAGTGTGTGTGCACTGGAGGCTCCCTGCCTGCAAAGAACTACCCCCAGACCTCCTCTTACACAATTCTTTCATGTCCTTCAAATCTCTCAGAGGTCAACCTCTTAGTGAGGCTCCCCTGATCCCTGGAGTAAAGGAGCCATCATCCCCGTCCCAGCACAGGTGCTCTCTGGGTCCATGACACTGGCTTGCATGGTGCATGTTCACCTGTGTGTGGACTTTTTTACAGTAAGTACTGTCCACGCATTTTCTCTTCTTTGTGATTTTTGAGTAATTTTTGCAACTTCATTCATTGTTAGAAGACTGTTTTCTACATGTAACATAAACATGTGTTAAGTGACTCTTCATGCTATCAGTGAGGCTTCCAGCAACAGTAGGCTATTAGCTCTTATGTTTGGGGGGAGACAAAAGCCATACTTGGATTTCTGACTGCACGAGGGGGTCACTATCCCAATTCCCACCTTGTTCCAGGGTCAAGTGGAGTCTACCCCTTACCACTAGAAATATTCTCCACAAGACCAGCACATTTTCCCTTTTCTTAGTCTCACTGAGGTATCCCAGATGTAAACACAGTGTGTCCTGTATGTGGCACATGACAGTTATTGGTTGAATGAATGAGCAGCTAGAGGACTCCGTCTTCTAGATGAGTCTCAGGCACAGCTGTTCTGTGGCAGCTCCCGCCCCACGTGCACCCACCTCACCATCCATGCTGTCTCTCTCCCCTCACAGCGCTGCCCTCCCCTCCCTCTCTCTGCTCAGCCCCTACCCCCACACCATTTCTCCTGCCCAGCACAGCACACAGAGTTCTCTCTCCAGAAACACTATACTCAGGCTATATGGATCTTTTTCTCCAACCACAAAGAAATCTACCTAGACTCTACTTTATAAATCCATGACCTTGGATCCAAGCCAGCACTAGGATCACTAGAACTAAGGGCCAAGCAGCAGGGAAGGCAGAAACTAACTGAAGTTTAATAAGAATGAGAACCTCTCAGATTCCTCCTCTCCCTACCTCCAGAACCTAAAGAATATTCCAGAAAACAGGTCCAGAGTGAGGGGAAGAGATGGATGAATCTGAAAGGTCATATCTTCATACCACAGAGACTCCTGGGCTCAGGGGATGACCTGGGCCTGTGGGAACAATAGCCTAAAGGCCACCTGCTGCTGTAACTGACAAGGTCATCCCTGGGAGAATGGACAAGAACTCATACACAAGAGCAAGAACAGGCCTGATGCTCTAGAGAAACAATTAAAAAACAAAAAACAAAAAACAAAATGGGGGCTCTGGTGTGACCCAGGCCTGAGGTGAGGCTGACCCAGTCCACAGGAATTTTTGCTGCACAAGTTCCTGGTGATAGGTGACATCTAAGTCCCTGTGATCACAGGTCCTGGTAGATAAGCTTCCACACAAAGGGCAAGGACACGGAGCAGAGAGATGACCCAGCTGAGGGGGGAGCACTTAACGTCCATGATGCACTGAGCACAGACTGGGAACAGACCCTGTCGCCACTTGGATCCTCACAGCCTACTCCTGTCCCACCTGCAACAGACTCAGCACAGCAAACACACGGATTCTGGAAGGTTCTCAGTGTTTCCATTTATTTGCTGTCTCAAGTTTAGAAATCTCCTCTTTTATTACTTCATCAACCCCACATGGCAAGAATTAGGAAATACAACTCATATCTGGATTCTCATTTTCAATAGGGAAGGAAGTCATTAGCATTCAGCCCAACATGAAATAAAGACAGGGATGGAGATGGTCCAGCCCTGCCTCTGATGGAACAGGAAAGCACATCAAAGAAGAGAATGCAGATCAGTATCGGGAGGGGTCTGGTGGGCAGGGTGGGCCAGTCTCCCCACCTCCTTATGTTTTGCTCACAGGAACACAGATACATCTGACATCTCTGCACAAAGAGAATTCAGGGGTTGCTGATGTCACCAAGTGGGAGTGTGAACACATCTTGCATTGCTCATCCCCCACAAGGCAGCTGGCCTCACACTCTGAAAAAAATCATGTACAAATTTAGGTCAATCACATAAGTGATCAACAGCTTTCCACATGCTCAAAGTGTCCCTAGTGCCCCACTCCTATGCACTGCTGGGTCTCCAAGGTCTCACCTTTAGGAGGCATGAGAGACACATCAGAGCCCTGGGCATTGTAATCACCTAGGGGAGAACAAACAGGATATGGTCAGAGCCCACAGGAGAGGAGACTAAAGGAGGAGCTATGGGTGGGTGAGCTCCCCATGGGGTCCTGTCTATACTATACTAGTGTCTCAGGGATCACCCCTCCATACTTACATCATGCTTGAGACTAGCCTGGTCCTTTTCCTCCTGTAGGAAGAAAATATCATGTTAGACGCTATGACAGGACTGGGCCATGAGATACTAATGGAAGCTCTTAGTCTTGATTCAAAATGAACTTTGAGAATTGTGACTGAAGACCCAGAACAGGATCAGGAAACATGAAGAATGAGCTGTGGGGTCACTGGGCCACCTGACTTGCAGGAGGTCTGTCCTCAGCAGGATCCTTCCTCTCTGTCCTGTGCCCACTGGGCATCAGGTCCCCATCACCAGAATTAACAAGAAGAAAATGTGTCTTTCATTTTCACAAGTGTTTGCTACAGAGTGAGTGTTCGTGATCAGTTCCACAATGCCCAAGTACATGAGCGAGGATGGTACTTCCCAGTTACAAGGCAGGACAGTCTGCTACCTAGGAAACCCCCAGTGGGACAAGAAACCTCAGATACCCCCACTCCATTCCTTACCTGAGAGCTTCTTCCTCCAGATCACAGCTCCAAACGTTACAGTGATCAAGAGGAGAGCCAGACCAGCAATGATCCATGTGATGGGGATGGTGGGAGGAGGTGGCTCTGGAAAGGGAAGGGACGGTGAGAGCCCCAGACCTCTGGTTTGAGTCCTGACCCTGCTGAAATTCTACAGAAGACCTTCTGCTTTCCCTGAGAAGAGGCTCTACCCCAAACCCTCCTTACCCCATCTCAAGATGTTGGGTTCGGGCAGCCCCTCATGCTGCACATGGCATGTGTATCTCTGCTCTGCTCCAGAAGGCACCACCACAGCTGCCCACTTCTGGAAGGCTCCATCTCCTGCAGGCCTGGTCTCCACAAGTTCTGTGTCCTGGGTCAGGTCCTCCCCCTCACGCTGCCAGGTCAGGGTGATCTCTGCAGGGTAGAAGCCTAGAGCCCAGCACCTCAAGGTGACGTAATGGTCAGAGATGGGATGGCAGATCACGTGTGTGTTGGGGGTTCTGGGGAAGAAAAATCAGAAAATCCACACTTTGCTTTACCTTTATGGCCTATTGAAATGGCATTTATGTGACATTCCTGAGGTGGACCCAGCAATTTCTCTGGATGGAAGATGTGTAAAGCTTCAAAGCCCAGTCACCAACCTAGCCTTTTATTTATTTATTTATTTGTTTTCTTTTTAGTTTTATTTATTTTTTTAATTAATATAATGTATTATTTGCCCCAGGGAACAGGTCTGTGAATCATCAGGCTTACACATTTCACAGCACTCACCATAGCACATACCCTCCCCATTGTCCATAACCCAGCCACCCCCCTACCCCCCAGCAACCCTCAGTTTGTTTCGTGAGATCGAGAGTCTCTCATGGTTTGTCTCCCTCCTTATCCCATCTTGTTTCATTTTTCCCTTCCAACCCCCCACATCCCCCAGCCCTGCCTCTCAAATTCTCCATATCAGAGAGATCATATGATAATTGTCTTTCTCTGATTGACTCATTTCGCTCAGCCTAATACCCTCTAGTTCCATCCATGTCCTTGCAAATGGCAAGATTTCTTTTTTGATGGCTGCATAGTATTCCATTATATATATATACCACATCTTCTTTATCCATCCATCTGTTGATGGACATCTAGGTTCTTTCCATAGTTTGGCTATTGTGGACATTGCTGCTATAAACATTTGGGTGCATGTGTGCCCCTTCAGATCACTACATTTGTATCTTTAGGGTAAATATCCAGTAGTGGGATTGCTGGGTCATAGGGTAGCTCTATTTTCAACTTTTTTTCTTTAAAGAATTTATTTATTCATTTGACAGACAGAGATCACAAGCAGGCAGAGAGGCAGGCAGAGAGAGAGGAAGGGACGCAGGCTCCCCGCCGAGCAGAGAGCTTGACCGGGGGCTGGATCCCAGGACCCTGAGACCATGACCTGAGCGGAAGGCAGAGGCTTCAACCCACTGAGCCATCCAGGCGCCCCTATTTTCAACTTTTTGAGGACTTTCCATACTGTTTTCCAGCGTGGCTTGACCAGCCTAGCCTTGGTGATCTCCTAATTCAGAGGTCCTAGAAGCAGGGACAGAGCCCAGGGTAGGAGGAATCTGTAGGTCTAAGTGAGAGAGCACACTAATGATCCTGACTGCAATGGAGAGTGAATGAGTCAGAAAACCTCGAGTCAGAACTCAAAGATGTTCTCACTGGAGAAAAAGGCCTTAAGAGGGAATAGTCAGGGTTTCCAAGGTGGCTGTCAGGGTCAAAGGGAACCGCTGATGGATTATTACAGGAATGGTCTCCACCTGCCTCCTGGGAGAGACTGGATTCCTCAATTGTCCTTTAGAGAAAATTGGCCTTTGGGTGAGTCACTCTTTAGTAGGAACCTGAACACCCAGGCGGAGGGCTCGGTCTCCCCACCCTTGGATCTCCCACGGGAGATCCCACCGATCTCCCCACCTGTTGAAGAGCCGTGTTCTGCCACTGAGCCCATTTTCCCTTCCTGGTGGGAAGCCAGTCCCGGGGAGGGGAGATCAGGGAGGCCCTGTTGGCCTTGGTACTTGCAGGCAGCAGCGTCTCCTTTCCCATCTCCAGGTACCTGAGGAGCCACTCCACGCACCTGCCCTCCAGGTAGTTCCTTTCATGATCTGCCTCACAGGCTGCCTCCCACTTGCGGCGGGTGACCTGTGCCGCCCTGTCCGCCGCGGTCCAGGAGTGCAGGTCCTCTTTCAGAGCGATGTAATCCGCGCCGTCGTAGGAGTCCTGACTGTACCCGCGGAGGAGATGCCCGTCGGGCCCCAATTCACAACTGTACATGCTCTGGATGGTGTGAGACCCTGGTCCCGCCCGACAGGCAGGAGGTTAAGTCCACACAGAAAGTAAAACCGCCTAAAAGTTCCCGCGGGTTCTTCAGGCTTAAGGATGGGGGGACAGGGGTGGGGATGCAGGAAGGGTCCCTCATACTCGGGGTGACGCTCAGACCTGGACACTCGGGCTACCCTTTGGGGATCAGGGTTGTGACCTGGACCCGGGCCCTGTCGCTCACCGGCCTCACTCTGGTTGTAGTAGCCCCGCAGGGTGTTCAGGTTCACTCGGAAAGTCTGTGCAGCGTCCTTGAGGTTCCCGGTCTCCTGGTCCCAAAACTCCGGCCCCTCCTGCTCCACCCACGGCCCCCGCGGCTCCATCCTCAGACTGGCAGAGTCGCTATCGAACTGCAGGAACTGCGTGTCGTCCACATAGCCGAAGGCTATGAAGCGGGGCTCCCAGCGGCCTGGACAGGCGGGTGTAGAAATACCTCAGGGAGTGGGAGCCTGAGGGCGCGGAGGGGCTGAGACCCCGCCCGACCCTCCTCCCGGCGCTGGGCCCAGATGAAGGCGGAGGGGAGGGCAGGGGAAGGGGGCACCGCCACTCCAGACAGGGCCCTGGGGCCTGAGAGGCGACCCAGGGACTTAGGACTTTGCCGCGACCCCTCACCTACTGCACAAAGTGCTCTTTGTCACACCGTCCCCCAGAGCAGTGGCCCAGGACCTGAGTCAGTGATTCTCAAACATCCTGTTCACAGGGTATCTGCACAGTCTCACAGACGACTGAGGATCCCAAGGATCATTTTGTGTCTGTGGGTTATCTCTATCAGTATTTACCGTAGTAGGAATAAAACAGGTTTAAAAATTCATTAATTCATTTAGAATCATATTAATAATCCATGGCATGAAAACAGAAATATTGTTTTTATGAAAAATAACTATGCAAATAAACAGCATAGTGAGAAGGGTGATACTGCATTTCACATTTCTTGTCTGTCTCCTTAGAGGACCCGTGGATGTTCAGATTTGCTTCTGCATGTAATTTGTGGTTTTTGTTGAAGTCTATGAAAAAATTTACAACCTTGCATATTAATGGGAGAAGAGTATGCTTCATGACCTCTTCAGATAATTATGTATATGCATCTTAGATACTATATTAAAACGACACAAGGTGTACTTTCTCTAAGGTTACTGGCAAAGTGGCACCTGAAACAGCATCATTGACTGTCCTTCTCTGTTGCATTAAAATCCACAGGCTCATCTTGCACACTGAATGGATCTTGTTCTAATGCTTTATTTTTAAAAAGAAATGTGTTGGTTCACTAAGTTGTATAGGTTTTCCAGTGTTGATTAGACTGGAAGTGAATTATCAAAAAGTCATATTTGTTTTAATATTAGCACAGATCCCAAGAGAAAAGTTTGTCAGTACTGAGAAGCTGTAAAATTTATTGGTGGACCACAAGTTTTCCAAAATTCTGAATTTCTCTTGAGAGTTTACCTTTTATCAAGGCAACAAGTACTGTCAGCTGTCATATGTGAGTTGATTTTCATGAAAGGATGGGTTTGTGTTTATTTTTCAGAAACTGTCTGCCAAATAACCTAGTGTAAATAATCCAAGATTCTGTGTCATTCATTCTTTCAGGTAAAAATGGCATTCTGCAAAAAGAAGAAAAAGGAGACCAGTTAAGTTCATACAAATTATTTTCCTTGGGGCTTATGCATGTAACGGAAGTGCTATATATCCCACGTATGACAAGTTTAAAAATGGGGATTTGAGAATAATTAATGAAGATAATAATTTTTTTTGCGTGTTTCTTTTTTTTATAATTTTATTTTTAATAAACATATATATATATATATTTTTTTTCCCCAGGGGTACAGGTCTGTGAATCTCCACGTTTACACACTTCACAGCACTCACCATAGCACATACCCTACCCAATGTCCATAACCACCCCCCCTCTCCCAACCCCTCTCTGCCCAGCAACCCTCAGTTTGTTTTGTGAGATTAAGAGTCACTTATGGTTTGTCTCCCTCCCAATCCCAACTTGTTTCATTTACTCTTCTCCTACCACATTAATCCCCCATGTTGCATCTCCTCTCCCTCATATCAGGGAGATCATATGATAGTTGTCTTTCTCCGATTGACTTATTTCGCTAAGCATGATACCCTCTAGTTCCATCCACGTTGTCGCAAATGGCAAGATTTCATTTCTTTTGATGGCTGCATAGTATTCCATTGTATATATATACCACATCTTCTTTATCCATTCGTCTGTTGATGGACATCTAGGTTCTTTCCATAGTTTGGCTATTGTAGACATTGCTGCTATAAACATTCAGGTGCACGTGCCCCTTCGGATCACTACGTTTGTATCTTTAGGGTAAATACCCAGCAGTGCAATTGCTGGGTCATAGGGTAGTTCTATTTTCAACATTTTGAGGAACCTCCATGCTGTTTTCCAGAGTGGTTGCACCAGCTTGCATTCCCACCAACAGTGTAGGAGGGTTCCCCTTTCTCCGCATCCTCGCCAGCATCTGTCATTTCCGGACTTGTTAATTTTAGCCATTCTGACTGGTGTGAGGTGGTATCTCATTGTGGTTTTGATTTGTATTTCCCTGATGCCGAGTGATATGGAGCACTTTTTCATGTGTCTGTTGGCCATCTGGATGTCTTCTTTGCAGAAATGTCTGTTCATGTCTTCTGCCCATTTCTTGATTGGATTATTTGTTCTTTGGGTGTTGAGTTTGCTAAGTTCTTTATAGATTCTGGACACTAGCCCTTTATCTGATATGTCGTTTGCAAATATCTTCTCC